CATACCTCCAACTGTTCCACTAATAAATGTTAAGCATTGATTATCGCTCATATCCAAATGCCTTGCTGCTCCTCGGTTTCTCTTTTATTTTTTCTCTTCAGAATCTTGCTTTGAGGGTGAAGCTATGTAACTTCTGACATCTGGAAAAAGCTTGACGAAAGCGCTTTCCCAAGGTCATAGCCCAAACCAGGCGCTCCACAAGCCTACTTTATAACAACTATAAACTTAAAAAGCTGCATTACATAAATACTTAGAACTACCGAAACCCTATTACACTTTTTGTCGAGATTGGATCTGGTATATAACGTGGACGCTATGCCCCTTTGGAAACTATTCTTATGAAAACACATTATATCTGAACGAATGAACTGCTATCAACTTTTATAGATTATAATTACTAAACAAGCTTGCTTGGGATGCATACTGTGAACCAGTATATGTTGTAAATTGTAGATCATGCCTGTAAAAATGGCGTGTACCTGCTAATGCAGAAATATATTATTATTATTATTATTATTATTACATTAATCACAGCGAGCATCGATCTACTGAAAGGCATAGTTAGATCTACTGATAGAAAAGTATCTGTTTCGACACAGAATTTTTGTCTGTCCGGCATTAAATGGGTGAAAAAGTAAGACTCCTCTCGACGCCTTAGTGCTGTAACTAAGCATGATTCTTTTCCGCTCCCGCGGATCGATGGTACATTAGAAGCCTTAAATGGCGCGTGTTGGTTTTCGACTTCAGACCTAGCATCTAGGTACTGGCAAGTGGAAGTACAAGCGCAAGATAGGTAGAAAACCATATTTATAATGCCGAATGGTTTACATGAATTTCAAGTGATGCATTTTGGTCTAACGAACGCTGATTACCTTTCAAGGGCTAATGCAAACAGGTTTACAAGGCATAATACCCCATAAATGTTTGATTTATCTTGACGACATTATTGTGTATGGTAACACCCCCGAACAACACAATAATAATCTGAAAGCAGTTCTTCGCCGCCTCAAACAACACAATTTAAAAGTAAAACCATCCAAATATCGCCTACTGCAGAAAGAAGTAGTCTCGAGAGATCGTATCACTGCAGATGGGGTAGGCACAGATAAAGAAAAGACACGTGTCATTGTTAATTGGTAGCAGACCAAATTGCCCGAAGAAGTTCGTAGTTTTCTTGGCCTTACTTCTTAATACAGAACATTTTGTTTGTATCAGGCTCTTTATGGATGAGAACAAGTCAATAGATCTGTGATATTGAGATTGTTCACCTACACTCACCATTAAGACTCATGTTTCCAATTTTTGTGCTGGATTAACTATTCTACTAAGACAACCTTTAACATGCTAACTCGGACTTTTACATGAACACTGTGTGGCAGGCATCGGATGAGAAAAGAAAAAAAACTGACTGTAAAGGATATGGTTTCTATTTTACTTAACACTACTCTCTATATGCACTCTCTGTTCTTCCTCATTCCAATGACTTCCCTCCTTCATTGGAACCTACTCCACCTTGATAAATATAACAACTCATTGTTCTTTATTACTGCCTTCTCTCTTCTGGAGACCCTAATCGCAGTTTACTCTTGCAACATGAGCTAGTATCAATTTAATCTAATAATTTATCATACCTCCAACTGTTCCACTAATAAATGTTAAGCATTGATTATCGCTCATATCCAAATGCCTTGCTGCTCCTCGGTTTCTCTTTTATTTTTTCTCTTCAGAATCTTGCTTTGAGGGTGAAGCTATGTAACTTCTGACATCTGGAAAAAGCTTGACGAAAGCGCTTTCCCAAGGTCATAGCCCAAACCAGGCGCTCCACAAGCCTACTTTATAACAACTATAAACTTAAAAAGCTGCATTACATAAATACTTAGAACTACCGAAACCCTATTACACTTTTTGTCGAGATTGGATCTGGTATATAACGTGGACGCTATGCCCCTTTGGAAACTATTCTTATGAAAACACATTATATCTGAACGAATGAACTGCTATCAACTTTTATAGATTATAATTACTAAACAAGCTTGCTTGGGATGCATACTGTGAACCAGTATATGTTGTAAATTGTAGATCATGCCTGTAAAAATGGCGTGTACCTGCTAATGCAGAAATATATTATTATTATTATTATTATTATTACATTAATCACAGCGAGCATCGATCTACTGAAAGGCATAGTTAGATCTACTGATAGAAAAGTATCTGTTTCGACACAGAATTTTTGTCTGTCCGGCATTAAATGGGTGAAAAAGTAAGACTCCTCTCGACGCCTTAGTGCTGTAACTAAGCATGATTCTTTTCCGCTCCCGCGGATCGATGGTACATTAGAAGCCTTAAATGGCGCGTGTTGGTTTTCGACTTCAGACCTAGCATCTAGGTACTGGCAAGTGGAAGTACAAGCGCAAGATAGGTAGAAAACCATATTTATAATGCCGAATGGTTTACATGAATTTCAAGTGATGCATTTTGGTCTAACGAACGCTGATTACCTTTCAAGGGCTAATGCAAACAGGTTTACAAGGCATAATACCCCATAAATGTTTGATTTATCTTGACGACATTATTGTGTATGGTAACACCCCCGAACAACACAATAATAATCTGAAAGCAGTTCTTCGCCGCCTCAAACAACACAATTTAAAAGTAAAACCGTCCAAATATCGCCTACTGCAGAAAGAAGTAGTCTCGAGAGATCGTAGCACTGCAGATGGGGTAGGCACAGATAAAGAAAAGACACGTGTCATTGTTAATTGGTAGCAGACCAAATTGCCCGAAGAAGTTCGTAGTTTTCTTGGCCTTACTTCTTAATACAGACGCTTCGTTCGCCACCTTCCAACATTAACAGCACCGTTGCATCGCTTTACACACAAAGGACGAACATTTTTTATGGACCAGAGTATGTCAACAGACGTTCGATGCTTTGAAGGCACGGTTAACCTCCCCATCCATATTAGCCGTCCCAAAGACTACAGCAGACAGAGGAGAATTTACACTTGATACATACACTACTTCTTCTGCAAGCAGCATATCCGGATCCATGAAGGAGTTAAACGATCAATCCTTAACAACTCGTACCAAATGGAACCATCTACAGTTATTCGGTGACACGTTATTTCTAATTAATGGATCGAGACAAACCCCACTGATAGTACCACGAGTAAAAATCAAAAGCATTGTGGAGCGGGTGCATCGCGAACTTGGTCATGCAGGAGAACGAAGGACTGAATACGCTGTCCGCCAGCCCTTTGGGTGGGCATCCGTACACGAAGATGTAGTGCAATTTCTCAAGAATTGTAACAAATGCTGCCGTTTTAAGTCGCCTCAACAGACACCTTGTGCACCGTTGACTTTGATGGCGACAGCAGGACCACAGCAGAGGGTTGGCATAGATATTATGGGAGCACTGACAACGATAAAAAACGGGATCAGTACATACTGGTTATGGTGGATCATTTCACTAAATGGTGTGAAGCAGTGCACATTCCGCAGCCAAATGCCCTTACGGTTGCCCGAGCTTTCATCAATCATTGGATTTCCCGTTATGGTGCCCCATTTTAACTTCATTCTGACCAAGGTGCAGCCTTTGAAAGTCACCTCATCACTGATATATGCCAGCTATTAGGAATCAGTAAAACAAATCCTACTGCGTATCATCCAAAAGGTAACGGGCTTGTGGAAAGAACAAACAGAGCCAATAATGCCATCTTACAGTCGTTTGTCAGTAGATCGTCACCGGAGTTATCCGATGATATGTTCCCTCAATGTCTTTTAGCCTATCGTACATCAGTACATGGGTCCACAGGATTTTCACCTGCTATTTTAGTGTTCGAGCACAAATTACGCTTACCAGTGGAGATACAGACGCCCTTGCTGCTGAAGATACGACTAGTCTTAAAGTTTTGCAACCCTAAACCAGTAACACCTTCTATATTCGAGTCTTTCCCAACCAGAAATCAGAAGTCAGAAGAGAGGAGGTTAGAAAAATATATTTGATGCGTTATCAATATATCGAGAAGCGTCTACTCTAATCTGGCTAGTGAACGTATGAGCTGTGTCCCACGCTGGGTCGAAACGTGATCTGGTGCGGATGCATGACCGAACGCCTTCAGTTAAACAAGTCTACTTAAAACGATGTTGTCAGCATCCAATGTCGAACACCTAACGAGCTATTGATTTTGGGGAATCATTTACATCTACACTGCCATGCGAAGAACAGGAGCGTGTGCCGTTCATACGTACTCTCCATAATCACTAAGCTGATGCATGTCCCTTGGTTAACGTCAATTTGCGCGAAGCTAGCGGACACCGAATAGACATGTACAATAGTCGGGTGCAAGGACCAGTGCATACAGTCGGCGGTCGCGTCTGGCTACGTCTGGCTACTTGATGGCAGGAGAACTTGAGCACGCAGTTCCGAATCGTGATCTGGTGAGGATGCTTGACCGGGCGCCTTCAGCTAGGTGAGTCCATTAAGAACAATGCGGTCAGCATCCAATGTCGAACACTTATAGAGCTCTTGATTTTGGAAATTTATTTACCGCAGGGTGACCAAGGATAAAGTCTTTGGAAGAAGAACAGCAAGTCCTGCATACAATGAACTTACAAGATGATTAATAAGACTATTTTGTAAGCGAGCTTTTCCTTGTGTACACGTCCCGCGAATTTTATTTTTCAAAAGTAAAAGACTCGTGGCTTCCACTCCGTGTTCCCTCTTGGTGTGAAGTTCTCGATTAACATTGCGTGTTGTGGTTTGAGGTCTTCTCCGCCTTTTTTCTGACTGCTGACAACACGTGTTATAAAGTTTCCCCTTGAAGCATTTCTAAAAAATCAAGGCAGCATATAACCAATCGAGTCGCTTCGTGTCATCTAAATACGTTTTTATATGACACTAAACGACTCGCTTGGTTATATGCTGCCTTGATTTTTTGGAAATGCTGCAAGGCTATGTAGAGCCTCCGCCGTCACTTCAGCTCTACAGGGTCGTGAAAATTAAGGCAAGGTTTTTTTAAACGAAGGTAACTTCTAAATTTTTTCGTGAAATTGATATAGACGTTATAAATTCATTTCATTGGTATTAACATCCAGGTCAGACTTCTTTTTCATCTAGATGCATAATTTCCGATTGTGAGATTCTAGTATGAAATGAGACCTATGCGTGAGAGGTCCTTTAAGGCAGGTTTACAAGCTCAAACTCCATGATAATTCGTTTTTTATCTGATACAATGGTATCCTAGTCTGTCAGTTGCTCACCAGTAATTGATACCTGATTGTTGAGCCTAATTTTTGGCATTGTATTGCCTCCCACACAGAATGATGCGGGGTACTTCTGTGACTTGAATTAGACGGTGGTACCCTTGACTTATCACGTATTCTTCTGTTCCCTATGGAATTGTCTTTGCTACCTTTACGGACCGCAACCCCCCTATTGACGTCAGATAAATAATGTTAAATACTCTTCATGTACTTCCTCGTGCTTCGGTTCGATTTATTACGGTGTTAGTACTTGAGAACATTGATGATTCTAGCGATATTGTTCACTGTGTGTGGGGGGAGTTGAACATAACAAAGGTCAAAATGGGAGTCAAGACGGTCAAACATAGAATCTGATGAGGTGAAAAGGAACATGAATAAATATTAAATATTGAGACCTCGGATAAATTAAGATCGAACGAATGCATACCATTACAATTGTTACTGAACTGTCACTCAGTTATAAACGGAATCTGAAGTTTCTCAAATAACCCGAGGAGTTTTTCTATTATATCCGGCCGTATATTGTGATTGAGTGACAAAATTCAGATATTTAGTTATTATACTGTCTACCTGGAAAATTGTGCATCACATTGAGTAGTGTAAATGATAGTCTTACGTCTGGCCAAAGTAGTACACTTCTTTCAATGGGTTTGAGGCGTTCGGATGACTCAATGGAAAGATTTGAATAATCCCAAGTACTGTGTCAGTAGTTTCGAAGAGTAGCATTTCTATGAATTAAAGCTGCTGAATAAGATACATTGAAGATAAACTTTTAGTTATAGCTTGTTTGTTCCTAATATTTGGTTTTCTAATGATTTGTAACTATTGTACTTGCTTTTTTCATGGGATTTCACTTATCCAATGTTTTCCTGTGCATTTTCAGCACCTTACTACTATGCACTATTATTGTATACATGGATTACATTCCTTATCTGTTTAAAACTCAAGGATCTTAGCACATTGGGGCACTAAGAAATGAGAGATACGTAGAAAAATAACAGTATGAAAAAATAAGTGGGAATAAGCAATATTAGTGTACAGTTCAAATCACATGATTAATCAGCGTATAAAAGGTTTGGAGGTTTTGGTTTGAGGCAGGTCTTCAAGTTGCAGTTGTATGTAAACGATATCATTGATTCATCACGTTCATCCTTTTTTGAGCATGTGGGAGATAACACACGTCGTAAGGCACTATATTCGTGCTAACATTTGCAACAGGAGTAAAGGTATCAAGTAGTTATCAAACGCGGTATTTTGCCTATCACTTTTCTCAAAGTGTTAATTATTTACACGGGGTTTGGGCTCGTTTTTAGTGACGATAATCTTCACAGTTTGATTCATTTTTACCTTCAAGTCTAGTGATTGTTCTTGTAAACTGAATAAAGTTGGTCACTGACTTTCATCTCAAATACACATTAATTTCTTCAACTAGTATTAGTGGCTTAGCATACAACTTATTGGTTTATGCATTTAACCACTAGAAAAATCTCTGGAATCTCTGTTCTTGTTTAGTAATTAAGCCAATTAATGTTCCTTTGAACGGATGACGTTCCCAACTATATATTTTTCCATAGTTTTCGTTTCTGTAAGTTTCTATTGTTCGACAACTCGAATAAGTCACTGATATATAGTTTTGTAACCCATGATTGCCTGCCCTTTGTAAGGTTGATGTTGCAAGCTTGTTTCAACCGCTGGAAACTTCATCACATGAATAAGGTTACCGAAAGATTTTCTGGTATGTATAATCTTACGGTAAAATTTCAAGTCATAATTCAATGCTTATAAAAAGACTACTTAGATTTTCTAATCAAATGTCCATATATCACGTCGAGAGATTACCGTTTCCAAAACGATGAATGAAATAAAGATAGTTTTTACCACCACAGTATGGGCAAAGTACTTGAACAATTGGCCGATTGCACCATTTCTGTGTAAGTACCCTAGTTATATACCATCAGTTAAGCCTATGAGAATAAGTTGTAACTGAACTATCAAGCCAATTAACTTATGTTTTTGACCTAAGCTCGAGACAATGATGGTTCTAATATCGATTTTCCGATCCGCCAGTTCATCAGTTTATTACCATTTAACATAAATTTTCGTATATGCTTATTTAAGTTTATTTTTTATTTATTTAAACACATATATATTGGTACAAAAGGGCACCAGGTACATATGCGCCACACCAATAGAGTTCATAATTTCATTCATTTGTTTGTGTGTGGGCTGTGATACTGCCCGGGTGCCCAAACCGAAGCAGGCTTATTTAAGTCGCTGAATGTAATCCATGGCAATTGTTTTTTTGTTTCTAAGCTAGTTTTAAGATACATATTTAGTAGTCTTGCTTTTTCTATGATCATTTCAGATTCAATGAACCGTCTAACTTGTCGTTTTTGGATGAAAAAAATTTCTGTATGGTTTCGAGTTTTCAACTTCATTAACAATTCTTTCCTAGGCAATTAATTTACAATTCCCTAGAGATTATTCAAATATTAGTGACTTCAGAAGTGTACTTTCTAAATCACACAATGTTCTAGCATTCACTGGTGCTGGTATAAGTGCTGAAAGTCATGTTCCAACCTTTAGAAGATCTGGTGAATTATGGAGAAATTTTCATACCCAGGTGATTTCTTTAAAAATGGTTGTGAAAAGACTTATTTGAAGGATCTTGCTACACCCGATGCATTTCATTCAAATCCTGGTTTGGTTTGGGAGTTTTATCATTACTGTCGTGAAGTCGTTCGTTCTAGATGTCCTAATGCTGGACATTTAGCTCTTGCCCATGCAGAGAAACAATATATTGAGTGTGGTCGCTCATTCTTTATTATTACACAGAATGTGGATGGCCTTCATGCCAAAGCAGGATGTGTTAATGTATTGGAATTGCACGGTATGTCCAAATACATAAATACTAGTTCCTCATCGGAATATTTCCTGAGTTGCTACCAGTGCTTACACCTTATTAAAGAATATGATGTTACAGTAGACTTTTTCTTACAGAAATTCACTTGTAGTATCATGCGAATTTCCAGACAAGCATAGTATAGTGTTTACCAAAGGTTAATATGGCTGTAAAGTGGATGTATCTGATGCGAAACAACCGTAAATCAAATATTACTTTGAATTCAGATCTACAATAAAGTTCATGAAGAATCCCATGGTAATTAGTTGACAATATCTTCTGGATTCAGGAGTTCATTTATTTTCGGTTTAATTTGTAAGATCAACGGTTGGGAATTAGATGATATGGCTTAAAATCGGTGACAGGAAAGGACATTCATTCACTTTCTTTATTACGACTAATCTTCAATATGGTATTCATTTTTTTCAACCAACTGGTATTTTTCTGTTTAAATTCACTGCGTTTCATCACTTGGTTTTTCAATGTCCCTGTGATATATATATATACGATTGGTCCTACGTTTTAGCTGACTGACTGGCTTCTCTGTCTCATCAGTACAAGCATAGCTCCTCGAAGAATATCCTAACTTGTGACATACTATACATAGATTTTTCGATCGAATGTCCTTTCATGCACATTAATATCTTGTCATAACTGTTTCGTCACCATTTAGATAAATTAGTCGATGCTATTACCGCAAAATGTGAAATGTTCTAGGTCCTATAAATATTTAAAGAACAATTCTGTTGATCCTAAACAGAAGTCATATGTTAATTCTTGCGTACATGTTTAGGGACAGACATTCAATTGTCAGTATTACTAACGTGATTGAATCATCGAATGTCAGTAACATTATGGGTAAAGAAAAATTAGTCAGTCATGGCCAACTCTGTCCTAAACGTTCTTCTGACAGTGTTTAGATCTGATGTTCAATTCTGTCACTGTGTACGCATGTATATGCAATAGCCCTGTGCTTAATTAATCTTCAGTATAATGAAGTTTTTAGTCATCATCTGACCTTTAACTTTAAATACTCTGGTAGTAAGTCAAGAATACATACACATATAGTTGACACAAAATTATTAGTAACAGTTAAATCTGGTGTCTACAAAACATCAAATGATCAGACTTCAGTGGTCGATATTTTAAAGTCTCATGTTTCATATCTTACAGTTTATGCCTTACTCAACAAAATTGGTGTTTGTTTACCACTCATTTCAGTTACTAGGCTTTTTCGACTATTAGCAGTTGAAGGGATGAAAAAGTCCTCTTCTAACTAAGCTTGACAGTGGCCTACGTGAAGCGAATTGATTTAATCGTATCATATTAGTGTCACCAGCTGACTTGAAATTCACAAAGTTGAGAAAATTCTATGTAGCATGTTCTGCTTAAACATAACGTCGTTAGGTACAACTTCGAACTAGTAAAAATGCAGTTCTAGATTGTTATAACCTAGTTGGATAAAAATATTTTAAATTGGATCTTTCAGCATTTATAACCTATGTTTTGGGATACTTCTGTATTGATCCTATAAAGAAAAACATATTTAATGTACATAATATGAAGAATTCCATTTTTATGTAAAACTTATCTTTTATTAACAGGAAATCTCTATAAAACACGATGTTTAGAGTGCAATGACATTCGAGTGAATTTCGATAAACCAATATGTGCAGCATTACTAGGTCGCGGGTAAGAAATTGATTTTGTTGCTTATTTTTATTATATTGACTTTGATTCGAAAATGTTTCTTTTCCAAATGATCTTCATAGTTAATGCATACTGTATAATTTGTATCTCAGTTGATACACTTGACAATGTATTTGGTTATGTAAAAAGCTGCAAATTTGTAAAATACTCGGTCCATAGTTTTATATGTGTAACAAACTATATCAATGAGCATATGCACAAGTATATATTTCAATGGAATTAAGTAATTTGTTTGAATATTTGTAGTTTTCGATATACTGCAATCCAACTTTATCTAATGTCTAGTTATTGGTTGGTAAATTTTTTAGTTTTTTACTAATCGAGTTCGAATTTCAATTGTAAGTCAGTCCGTTTAGTTTAGTGAGAGAAGATCGAATGTACTGTTAAGATAAATGTACTGTTAACATAAAACTGTTCAAATCACATTAGTATATATGTAATTCATAGAGTTCTCCAAAGATATCTCTTCGTCAAAGTTTAAATACGATAGTTTCATTATCGCTCGCTTACTGTTATAGAATTGATCCACCTAGTTAAACATCAATTATTTCCAACTACTATAAGATTATGTAAACATGAATTTCCCTTACTTTCAGTTCACCAATCATTGAGAGTATTCCATGCAAGCCAATTCCTTTATCTCAGTTACCACGCTGTCAAAATCGTATTAACAATAATATATGTGGTGGACTACTACGACCACATGTCGTTTGGTTTGGAGAAAATCTTGAACCACATATCCTTTCTAAAGCTGGTGAAATAGTTCAGAAAGCTGATGTTTGTCTGGTTGTTGGTACTAGTTCTGCTGTTTATCCCGTTGCAAGTTTTGCTCGATCTTTAGCTAACCGTGGAATTCCTGTCGCTGAGATCAATGTAGAAGTTACTCCAGCCACTCATTTATTACAGTTAGTGTTTTATAAATATTTCTTTTCTTTAACAATAATTATGGTATTAAATTTTATGTTATCTAATTACTTATAAATGTTAGAATTTGTTTCACTTTAACGTTTTATCATCATAAATTGTTATCATTCTAATTCATACATATTCCGTTAATTTCTACACTATCCCACCTTGTTATTGAAGAAGAATATTGTCCAGTGAGGTTATGCACAATCAATAAGAATCTAGTGCGAACAGAATCTGTTGTGTCGGTTGACATGTTAACCCCGTATACTTTATGATAGCTTCTGGACAGGCCAATTTGTCCATTCTTATTGAGTCACGTTTTGACCTTGTTAATTATTTACTTATCAACCCTGTTGACATTAATTACACGGCCAATGTGGTCCCTTACCACCTATTGATTAGAAATAAAAGGGTGTGATAAAAAATTTAGGAATTAATGAACCTGTTTTTGAAAGTGTCACTTGTAGTAATTTTTTACTTGGCTGTAAAATGTGCATTTTTGTAATCTGATTAGTTTAAATAGAAATAGCATAGTATTTTGATGGCATGTGAGAATTTGGATTTTATTTAGGATACTTAATTATGCCTGACTGTTCTATCCGAGTTTTGATAAAAAAATGTAACTTCTGAAAAAAACTAAATATCTATTATCTTTGACTACCCTACTATACTCTTGTTAGTGAATGTATATCGGGAAGAATTTATTTTCGATCAAGGCGAAATGGAACTGAAGTCGTTAGTTATCGTGATAAGAGAAATTATATGTATAACATTAGAAGAAAATTTTTGAAAAACTGATAATTTTTGATGTTTGATTATATTTCCTTGAGAAAGCTTGGACCAGATTGCCAGGCGAAACGTTGCATTTACTCCAAATTCATTCGCTGAGATTTTACAAATATATTCCTGTTTAAAGTCTTGCATCAACTGGTCGCCCGAATACTGTGAAACTATTCGCTCTCATTTAAACAAAAGTTTTTATCAAAGTTGAAAGCGTGAGTCAATTGAAGCTAGACCACTATGGAAAACCTGGGAGCACTGAATGGCCTTTTCGTTCTATTATGGGAATCCTCAGCAGTGCGCATCCACGAACCCGCACTCGCAAGATTCGGACTCAGGTGCGAGACTGGTACGTCCTGAGTTAGAATCTCGCGAGTGCGGGCTCGTGGATGCGCACTGCTGAGGAGTCCCACAATAGGACGAAACGGCCGTCCAGGTTTTCCATAGTGGTCTAGCTTCAATTAACTCACGCTTTCAACTGAGGCAGATTAGTGTTCACTAGATGACGTTTTCTTCTGTACGAAATCATTTACTTATACCTTATATTTGATCAACCTTAAACATGTTGACGGGATAAGTGAGCGATAATCACCTTACTATTATTAATTTCAAATGAATTCTTGCTAGTTTCGCGACATGACCTTTGCCAAAGGGTCTTCACTCGTTCTCTTAATAGTTCCAAATTTCATAAACAAATGCGTTGCTATAAGTCCGTTGTAGTGCCTTACATGGGACAGTGGACGTGTGGTGATGGATCGTGAGCACAAAATAAATGAAACATTGCTTCGCATGGACAGAAAATCCAAGCATTTCCATCAGACGTTTCACTTGGTGGCTGCACAAAATTGCGAATATCACACAGTCTGTTGTCATAAACACATTCGGCATTGTCGAAAATCATTGAAATGGCAGCCATTTCTGTATTTTCTTTATGATGAATATTTTCTCATCCCTTTTCAAAAATTTATTCATTTCATTCCGTCCAATTAAAAGGCTTCTTTTAAATTCGTTGTAATTGGTTACTTATTTCTTGAAATTTGCATAAAACGTCTGTACTTGTCGATAGAGATAATTTTCTTCACAATATGGACGATAATAACGTGCAATGTACAAGCTCTGTTGTTCCTCACGTTGTCACAGAAACGGATAACGTATTTTTGAATACATTGTATCTCGTAGCGTTCCAATCACTTGAAGCGTTAAAGAGCACCATTAGAACTTATGAAAGAGCAACGTATTGCCATAATGCGGTTAGAGATTCCCATTTCCATGGAGATCGGAAGCCGTATATTAAATTTGTATGTTGGAGAAATGGCCGTAGAACACCTAGCAGTTCCTCACAGCCAACTAGACGAAGGAGGTAAAGTGATTGTTGTAAATATATTCTCCATAAAGGACTTCCATCCACACTCAATGTCCTGCCTTCATCTTTTGTAAGTTTATTGAAGGTTATTGGACTGTTGTTCGTGGGAATGTGCATCACAATCACGAATGCGATTCCCTTAGGTACGACTGTAATACTTGGATGCGCCGATTAACGGAGGTGGAATCGGAAACAGTGAAACCACTGTTGATATCTGGTACATCAGCATTCAATATTATACACTTCATTTACCAATCTTATGGGAAACGTCTTAATGCTCAAGATGTTTTCAATATGTGTCACAAAGTGTTCTCACAGGTCAACCTTCCTGGTAAGCAATGTGCACATTTACACTATTAACTTTAAGTGATTACGCTAAATTGATAAATTACATCACGTCACTTGGTGGGTGTTGCGATTATCAATTGGACGCAGATCATTGTCTGTCGTACTTCTTCTTCGCTACAGCAGACCAAATTAATCTCTGTAATAGATTTCTTGATGTTGTTGGTTTTGATGGGACATACAAAACCAATAATGAAAACATGTATCTGTATCACGTAGTCGCTCTCGATATGAATTTCATGGCAATACCCGTTTGTATTGCATTTGTAGGTCGCGAAACATCGACTTTACTTTCCCATTTCCTTTCGTTCTTCCGCCGGTCGAGTAACAATCGAGAAGTGATTGGAATTGTTACCGATGATTCACCTGCTATAGCTGCTGCCATAACGCAGGTGTATCCGAATTCACACCACCTTTTGTGCCGTGTGCACCTGGTTCAAAATGTCATTAAGAGGGTAAACCTTCCTTTCTTTGGCATCAACCCATTCACCGTATTCGTAGAGGCTACGATCTGATCTTCAAATATTCTTCCGCCTTACGCTAACTCGAAATGTGGAAAGGTAAATCGAAATATGCATTACAATGTTTTGTAGCTTCCAAAGGTATCTGTCATCCATCGAAGCAGCAGACGGAAATCCCTATCAATATTTGAGAAGTCACTTATTGTCCAAAAATCACAAGTGGTCGAACGCTTTTAGACCATCTGAGATGCTTCTTGATCAAAGCAATACGAATTTCGTTGAGACGACCCATCGAATTCTCAAGTTGCATAAGCTGAACAGAAAAACACCCGTGTTCAGATCGATATTCAGTGTTCTGCTTCGCACTGGATATTGGATAGAAGCTGGAGTTCAAAAGTACTCCACTGAATGCCGTAGCAGAGCTGTGCTGGGTCGCGAGCCACAACTATGTCGTCTTCAGGAAGTACTTACACCTGCTGCATGTCAACTACTAAAGCGGCACTTGCGTGTTCCTGTTACTGACTTCGTATTGTCGGGGGAGTTCTTCACGGCCGTTGATACTACAGGAACTTACACAGTCTCCAGAAATCCTATTACTTGTTCCTGTATCTTTTATATAGAACACAGAGTCGTATTGTTGGGATGACCCTGTAATTTTCTCGCAAGCGACATGACAAGCTCGTGAGTCATCAAGAAGCATTTCAACCAATCAGCGATTAATTAGAAGTTATGTTACTAAAATAACGAGAGTGAAAAAGTCACATGTGGAGATCCTGATTGGCTAATTAATATACTGTTGCTATGTTTAGCAGTGTTCTAGAACTTTCGGTAAAACTCAAGGACTCTTAAATTACTATAAAATCCCTGCATTTTCTGTACATAAATGAACCCTGTAGTAAAGTGCTTCCCTCACACTTTGTGCCTTTTCTCTGGTCTTCAAGTCGGTGTATAGTTCTAGCTCGGGGGTACGGAACTAACTTAGGGAAGCGAATATAGCGTTCAAAATCGGCCAGTTATAACACGTATCTCGTCACATCTTGGCACACTGTTCGCACGTTAACGTCGAAGTTAACAGCGAAAGCATTGGTGACAGATGGCTGCATTCCAACAGCTAGCTGTCCAGCGTAACGATTGACAATGAGTTACAGGTACAAGTCAGCCAGACAAACGTCCTAACACCGGTTCACGGTTTATGTCGGCGTATATCTGCGGAACAGTGTACCGCTGTCCGTAACTATGCGCATCAGGTTCTTTACGATGGATTACCTTCGACTACCTTCACAATGCCCATCGTCCGAAATACCTCAGGCACCAACCATCAAGAGAACGTAGATTTGGATGCAACCTTGAGTGATAATGAGAATGAAGTACTGTCTATGAACTCCAAAGATTTTACGGAGCGAGACAATGTGGAAGACGAACGTGCGCACAGTGCGCACCGTGAACCGATGTTAGGACGTTTATCTGGCTGACTTGTACCTGTAACTCATTGTCAATCGTTACGCTGGACAGCTAGCTGTTGGAATGCAGCCATCTGTCACCAATGCTTTCGCTGTTAACTTCGACGTTAACGTGCGAACAGTGTGCCAAGATGTGACGAGATACGTGTTATAACTGGCCGATTTTGAACGCTATATTCGCTTCCCTAAGTTAGTTCCGTACCCCCGAGCTAGAACTATACACCGACTTGAAGACCAGAGAAAAGGCACAAAGTGTGAGGGAAGCACTTTACTACAGGGTTCATTTATGTACAGAAAATGCAGGGATTTTATAGTAATTTAAGAGTCCTTGAGTTTTACCGAAAGTTCTAGAACACTGCTAAACATAGCAACAGTATATTAATTAGCCAATCAGGATCTCCACATGTGACTTTTTCACTCTCGTTATTTTAGTAACATAACTTCTAATTAATCGCTGATTGGTTGAAATGCTTCTTGATGACTCACGAGCTTGTCATGTCGCTTGCGAGAAAATTACAGGGTCATCCCAACAATACGACTCTGTGTTCTATATAAAAGATACAGGAACAAGTAATAGGATTTCTGGA